GGGGGGGGGGGGGGGGGGGGGGAAAGGGGAGACTTGGCCCAGTGGCAGTCTCTACAATAAGGGGAAAGCTTGCCTGCATGCGAGACGGAACTTTCCCAGGGGCTGATCCAAGATTGTGGCACGAACTCCCCCAGGCACTAAGGACCATCACAAGGTTCACCACCTTCCACTCCAAGAGCAAGGTGCATTTCTTACGACCTGCCTTCTCTAACATGAATACAGAACCACGTGTATTAACAAAGCAAAGACCACCCTATCAAAACAAGACACTCCACTGCACACATTTTTCCAAGAGCAGAGGATGAGAGAACTAACAACATGTGACAGATATCAGTCACATCTCTTCATGCACAACTACAGTGATCAGTATGGTATAAGAACCTATGTAGACTAGAAGGAAGGCAGGTTACCAAGAATTCTCATTCTCTCTCTCTGCCCAACACAAAAGCACTAGGGGCCGTACTCTCCACTCATGTACTCCATTTCTACAACAGGGGAACTCCAGCATCACACTGATCTATGGGAGAGGCGAATTAGGTGCTTGATACACACATTTTTGTTAGTGACCCAGATGATAATAGAGTTGTCCAGTAAACAGTCCCAAATGCAGCAGCAGCACCATTGCAAGGAGCAGGGTTTGGGAGGATTACTTTAGAGTGCTCCGAGTTTCAGCGAGCACAACCCTACCTTAGCAGCGTGGCCCCAAGGCCCTTGTAAAGCCCCGCGATGCCTTTGCTCCGAAGTAGTTCCCTGGTGATTTGCGTCGCCGTGGTCCGTGTCTCCACCACCGACTCCGCTGCCCCAGCACTAGTGGTGGAGGAGAGCTGGGCTTGTGCTGCCATTAGCTTCTTCTGGGCCTCTGCATGGGAGTGACAGAGTGTTTATGAACAACACATGCCATGGGAAAAAAAAAACCCACAACTTTCAATTATTGCACGGCACCAGTGCCAAGGCTATACAGGGACTTGGCTGTTTCAGAAAGGAAGATGTCTGGTGTAAACTGGATACTGGTGAGAGGGAGGGACTAACAGCACTGGCTAAAGCCAGCCATGTACCCTGCAAGCTCCTTCCCCTCAGCATGCCTCAGTCCTGGGCTCAAACCCAGCTCTGCCACCACACCTCAGTCCTGACCTGTAACATCGCCCCTGCAGTTCCACTCCTGGGTCTCTCCTGAGCAGACACGGTCAATCATGCAAGGCTTGCATGGTGTGGAGAACTGACTGCTATCAGGGCCGGCTCCATGCACCAGCCCACCAAGCTCGTGCTTGGGGCGGCACCTGGAGGGGGAAGAGCGCGGAGCCCCGGCCGCTGGGGGAGAGCGCAGAGCCCCGGCCAGGCTCTCCGCCCTCCCCCTGGTGCTCTGGCCGGTTGGGGAGAGCGGAACCCCGGCTGGGCTCTCCGCCCTCCCCCCGGCACTCTGGATGCCAGTGGAGCTGCGGTAGGCTTGCCGCCCTCCCCCTGGTACGCCGGCCAGTTGGGGAGAGCGGCCCACGGCCGGGCTTGGCGCCCTCCCCTCCCGCGCTCATGCTTGGCGCGGCGCGGCGGCGGGAGGCTTTTTTGCCTGGGGCGGCAAAAAAAGCCAGAGCTGGCCCTGACTGCTATAGACTAGGCCGAGCACAAGAGATCAATGCAACAGGGACTTTAAACCCTATTGGGACACAGGTCTTCAGAGGGGAAAGGCCACTAAAGCACACTAAAAATAAGAAAGGCTCATTCCTAATACCTTCCCTTAAACAATCACATTAAAATAAAACTGAAAAGCGCCTTGAAATAAAGTACCCTAGATCTATGCACTATGCTACTTATCTCCCATTACCTTTTAAACCCTAATGCACTACCACCGTTTGGTCAGTAGATGGAGCACATGTCAATCCCTGGGGCATTCTGCAGCTCCCATACATACACTCTCCTTTGCAAGGCAGAGAATAGGCCTCGACTGTTCCACAGTAGTGGTAATCTTTTCCAAACCCCCTGTAAACAGTTTACACCCACATGCCCCACAGAGCAAGGTTTGCATTAAAATTGGCAAGGGAAGGTTCTTGGGGAGGAAAAGGAAAAGAAACTATAACTCTCTGGTCTCATGGGGTGTTTGGGTTATGGGGTCCCACAATTAGGGTGTGATGTTACCATGTGTAATCATAATGGTACCTCCACAGAGGAAAGTCCCTGGACGTGCAGTTGTTATGTACACATCACACTGGGCATACACTCTCCCCTGGGACACTGAGTATGACAATTTAGCTGCTTTGCAGAACGCAACCCTACAGGTAACATGGATGCCAAGCTGGAAGAATCCTGATCTAAGCTGGCTGCAGCCTGGTGCCGGAAATACTTCCTGACGGGAGAATGCGTGGGAGCCACTGTGGGTTAGCTGAGTAGCACCATTAACACTCTACCTGATGGTAGGGTTACCATATTTCAACAAT